TTTGTTGTGATTTGGCGCTATATAAATAAAATTGAATTGAATTGAACTTGTAGCTTTTACATGAACATCTGCAGTTTACAGTTTAGCTTCAATCATGTGTTCATGTATTGTTATTAAAACGATTGATTATTGGTTGCTGTGGGTAGTTTGGGTTTAGCTGTTGGGCAGCTGGCCTCATGTCTGACTCTGGATTACTTTGGTGTACAGATGAGTTCTTGGTCGACTCAGTGCAGTCTGCAAAACAAGCCCGACTCATCACTCCTGCACCGCAGCGCTACAGCCTGACCTGAGTCCTTTATGATGAAGCTTCGCTCTCTCCAAACACGACTGTGCATTATGGCCAAATGCCTCCACTTTGGTTTTGTCTGTCCAAAGGACATTATTCCACAAGTCACTGTTGTTGAAATGCAACTTTGAAACCTACGCTGTGCAGCCATGATCTTTGTCTACAAAAAAGAGGCTTTATTTCTGGAAACTCTTTGTTGTGCTGTCATGAACCTTAATATTTAACATGCTAACGGAGGCCTGCAGCATTTCAGATGGAGCTCTTGGGGGTTTTTTGCAACTTCTCTGAGCATCGCCATTAATAAAGCGCATTTAATTAGCAGCACCTGACTGATACTTACACTCTTAAATCCTATGAAAGCATTAAAGGTGTGCTTAGTATTTGACAGAGTGCTGTGAAGACCTTTTTTTCTCCAGACTGTAAAAGACAGATTGTCAGTCTCTTTCTCAAAAAAGAATATTGCTTTTTTAAATTAAAAAAAATGGATCAGTACTTAGTTTCTTCAAATATACAAAGACAAATGGAAAGAAAGTTAATGTAGAGACTTTAAAACGGGGTAATATGCTCTCACTTTCTTTTCCTAGCAAGTCGTCTGGCTGCTGATTTATATAAAGCCAGCTTGATATAAAAGTGCATTAGTTTGTCTGTCTGTTAGACAAATAACCTAAAAATACTGCTGTTCACAGCACACACAGGAATGTAAATGTCCATTTCTGGAAGAAAAACAAAGTGCAGGGTGAAATAAAGTAATGTTTCTTACCTCTTTTAGTGCCACCACCCCCACCAGTTTGCCAGTACTGGTCACATAAGCATGACTTAAGCCAAGCAGTGAGAATAAGGTGTGGGTCTGTGGAGACAGGGGGGAAAAGGTCACATGTGAAATGACACAAACTTTTTGCTTTCTGCTCCAAACACAACGTCACGCAGACAGAACGTCTCGAGGCTCCGGGTGAACCACAGGAAGAGAAAGTCCTCGTGTTTGTAAGCACAAACTATCGTGCTCACAACGCAGCCAAGGTCACACTTTGGGACGAGCTCTTTGTATGCATCGGCACACCTCGATCACAAGGCCCCCTTTTGCACATGAATAAGCAGAATATTACAAATATTACCATGACAATGAAACCAACGGGAATGGTACAAGGTGTTTACACGCTTCACTATGCTGCAAACATCTGAAAATCATAATAAGGACGTGAGCGGGTCACAGAGATTGTACGAGGCAGGAAATGATTAGAAATACTTAGATTTACAAGAGATTTTATGTAAATCCAGACTCGGGCAGCATTCAGCTGCATTTTAACTGCAACGAGACAAATGAAAACGTCACCGTTCAAAACAAAAATACAGCAAAAGCTGCAGGAAATTACTGAATGAAAAGCCGTCAAAGCAAATAAGATAAACAGGAATATCCAGAGTTCATATTAAACTTATATTAAACTGCTGTGACTCATGGAGTGCATATTGATTGGGCAGCATAAGAGCTTTAAGAGCTGTAGTTTCAGGCTTGGCTGGCTGATATCTTCTCATTTGACTAAATTCTTGCCAAAACTAAAACAGGCCGGCAATTTCCAGATTGGCACAGCGACAAAATTAAAAACGACTGACTTAATAGCATTACACAGCATGTTTACAGCTTGGTACACAACAGGCTTTTGGTCTCTATGAATAGATTTCTCCCTCTGCGACAGCTCCATGGTGGATCGCTTTATTTTTTTAAAAATCATTTTCACTTCACTGCCTGGAGCTTCCTAAACAACAGGTATCGAAACTTCGCTTCACAGACTCACAGTTATAATGGGAACAGAAGAAGTCAGAACAGGAGACAAAGCAAAGTCACACTTGCTGTGTGTGCTGTGTGCAAACACGATAATACTGAGCGTAAACTAACAGTGCTGTGTGCCGAGACAGCCCTCGTTTTCTCTCGAGTCATTCAAGCAAAAACAAAAAAAGATTCCAACTCAGTGTTGTGACCACACATAAGAGGAAACTTAGATCTTTAATATAAAACATTATTTCTTCTTATTTCTTTAGTTGAATCTATAAAAAACTATCTGCAGCACATAATCAGTACATCTGAGTCATGTCCTTATGAAAGAGCTGATGCGGGGTCGGAGGGATGCATCTGACCGCTCAGTTGATCCTGTTCAGTGAAGGCACATCACTGTTCTCAGAGAAAGGTTACTGTCAAGAAGCCATTCTTAAGGAAGTGAAACAGGGAGGAAAGGCTGAGGTTTGCCAGATTATAAGAACTGCACTGTCACTGGAAACAGGTCTCATATTCTGCAGTTCCATTTATGTGTGCGTGTTTCACAAAATGTTGTATTTTCTTGGCAAAAAAATGAGGAATAGCTCAAGACTCTTGCACACTACCTCACTAACTCCATCTGTCTTATTCCACCGTCAGCAGCCCAAGCAGAGAAGTCTAGACCTCCCTCTCCCCAGCCACCTCCTCCAGCTTATCC